ATAAGAGTTTCAGACAACACAATATTCAGAGTTTCAGACACACATCCATACCTCTACTCCCCTTGACAGACACGACAACAATGGCTAGTACCAAGCTAAGGAAGGAGGAAGAGGAGATCAGGCTCTGCTCCCATGCATCCACAGGTTTCTGCGGTCTAGGGCTATGGTCGTTAGGAAGTGTTGTTAGGAAACGATAGGCAAACAAACAATAAAGAACTATAGATCAATCACAGAAGACACGAGATTTTAACGTGGAAAACCCTCTTAAAGTAGGAGAGAAAAAACCACAGGCGCCAGCCAGCAAAAATATCTTCACTATTTCTGGGGTGAGGTTACAACGCCGCACGACGGCTTACAAGAGGTATATATACGGGCCTCCGCTCCACTACGGCAGAAGCTGGCCTTTATTAAGTGCAAATGAATTTGGATCACAACTCAACAAACTCCACCTTGAGACAAATTTCTTCTTGTAGCATGAAACAATCCTTCACCCTGAACACAACAAAGACAAAAAAACACTTTCGGCGCCAAATAGCCTCTTGGGATAAACCACTATACCAATTAAGCTTGAGCAAAGCTCAAACTTAGCAACAGGAACAGGCTTTGTCATCATATCAGCAGGATTATCATGAGTACTTATCTTGCATACCTTTAGCTTACCTTACACGACTACATCGCGAACATAATGGTACTTGATATCAATGTGCTTTGTCCTCTCATGAAACATCTGATCTTTAGTGAGGCATATAGCACTTTGACTGTCACAAAACAAGTTAATGCAAGAATCAACTCCACAAAGCTCAGCAAACAATCCTTTCAGCCAAACTGATTCTTTACATGCTTCAACAATAGCCATGTATTCTGCTTTAGTGGTAGACTGGGCAACAACAGACTGCAATGTTGCCTTCCAACTCACAGCACAACTACCAATAGTAAACACATAACCTGTGAGTGACCTTCTCTTATCCAAATCTGCAGCAAAATCTGAATCCACATATCCAACAAGCCCCTTATCAGTCCTCCCAAACTTCAAGCAAGCATCAGCTGTGCCTCTGAGGTACTTGAAAATCCACTGAACAGCTTTCCAGTGTTCTTTACCAGGATTAGCCATGTATCTACTAACCAAACTCATAGCATGAGATAAATCTGGACGGGAGCAAACCATGGCATACATCAAAGAACCAACAGCACTAGAATATGGAACTCTAGACATGTATTCTACATCCTCATCAGTACTAGCACATTGTAAAGCTGATAATTTAAAATGAGGTGCAATAGGAGTACTAACAGGCTTTGCATCATGCATGTTAAAACGCTGAAGAACCTTCTTAATGTAGCTTTGCTAACTAAGAAATAACAAACAAGAATTTCTGTCTCTAGTGATTTTCATACCTAGAATTTTCTTAGCAGCACCAAGATCCTTCATATCGAACTCACTACTTAACTGTTTCTTCAATATAGTGATTTGTTCCTTGCTCTTAGCAGCAATCAACATATCATCAACATATAACAGCAAGTATATAGGTGATCCATTAACAAATTTAATATACACACAGCTATCAAATTCAGACCTCTTAAAGCCATGTGACAACATAAATGAATCAAACCTTTTATACCATTGACGAGGAGACTGTTTCAGTTTGTCACCATCCGGCGATGGGCCTCCGCTCCACTACGGCAGAAGCTGGCCTTTATTAAGTGCAAATGAATTTGGATCACAACTCAACAAGTGTGAGACTGAGAGAGGGCCAGGGAGGCAAGCATCCTTAATCGAAATCGCAGCTTACTTAGACCACCCCTATTTGGATCCAGGGACTTATTTTTGGTCCCTATCATATCGGATGTTTGGGACACTAATTAGAAGTATTAAACATAGGCTAATGATAAAACCTATTCCATAACCCTGGACTAATTTGCGAGACGAATCTATTGAGCCTAATTAATCCATGATTAGCCTATGTGATGCTATAGTAAACATGTGCTAATTATTGATTAATTAGGCTTAAAAAAATGTCCCGCGAATTAGCTCTTATTTATGCAATTAGTTTTGTAAGTAATCTATTTTCAAACATCTGATGTGACATAGTCCCTGGATCCAAACACCACCTTAGCACGTGCGGTCAAAAATCGTCTGCTGATTCAGTATGTTGACTAGGGTTAAATGGCCACATCAGATGAAACCACCTACTATACTACTCAAGTAGTCGTTTTACACGGGTTTCACCACTTTTGAAATACCTGGTTTTACTCGGGTCATAGTTGAGGGAGTCAAAGTGTACTTTTTCCTACAAATGATAGACACGATAAATTTGACTCATTGTCGATTTTATAGAGCTTCTTTTTTGTTTATTTGGATAAATTTGACCCATGTTCGATTTTATAGAGCTTTTTTTTTCGTTTGTTTGTTTGAGTGGGCATTGGACCAAAGTTCAGGTTTTCATACTACATAAGATAGATTAAGAACGACTACTGCTTATGTATAAAATTTAATTAGTTCAGGTATCATCTGAGGATGGATGGGGCCTGGGGGAGAACTCAGGCGGGTGTGAATCCTGTGTGCAGTAATACAACAAGCAATAAAAATTTACACCTACTGGCAGGCTCGCACGACAAGGAATAAAATTTTACTAGCTAGTACTATGCTGTTACCTCGTTTAAGAGCAATTAGATTTCTATGTCACTGTGATCTAGTAATAACACGTTGTTACTGTTAGGGATCACACATATTTCAGAATACTCCGTATGAAAACGACAACTTCACAAACAACTCCTTTCTTATCAGTCAGACAGTTGAAAAGGTAGTTCAGGTAATCACGAGTTCTAATATTATACTCCCTCCATCCCTAAATATTTGACGTCGTTGACTTTTTCAATATGTTTAACCGTTCGTCTTATTCAAAAACTTTTGTGAAATATGTAAAACTATGTGTATACATAAAAGTATATTTAACAATGAACCAAATGATAGGAAAATAATTAATAATTATTTTTTGAATAAGACAAATGGTCAAACATGTTTAAAAAAGTCAACGGTGTCAAATATTTAGGAACGGAAGGAGTAATATATATCCAAAAAATAATTTCTTAGTGAGTCTCTTTATTAATTTCTATCCAGAACTATTTTATAGTTACACAAATATTCTCCGGACAATTTTTCTATTTTCTATTCTTGCTACCTTTTGTTAAGGTACTTGTTCCAGCTAATTCTTCACATATCTATCGAGCTTAATTAAATTTACATGACAGATCCAGCTTGCATGATTATCGTGTAATCTAAAGAATTCTACTCTCGCCAATGACAAGGACTCAAGGCAATGTACTGCTATATGCATCGGATATGATGACTAGGTCCATCTCAATTCTTTACAGTGTTGGAACCTGGACTATTACAAACTGTAAACTCGTGGAATCCAATGTTGGGTAGCACATCTCAGCTGTAAAAAAGGACACAGCTACAGAAAGCAACTACACGTGGACTGTATATCAAACTCTATTCACATGCATGGCTCATGTTTCACCATTAATTGTAAAGCTGAAGTTTAAGACAGTGGGCATTTTATCAAACATGAATTTTGATGGCATTCTCGAAGTTCAAATTAAGAAACACTTCCATATGTGTCCTTTCTATCATAAACATTACAACTAGCATATATACTGAAATAGAGCACCGGAATGGAAACATGATAGTTCACAGTTGGGTTAATAGGAATTGTGTGACTTGCCTCGCAGTAAAAAAGAGCAGCCAGTAGCGGAGTAGCCGTTGCTACAATAGAAGCTTTCAACCTGCAAAACAGTAGCAAGAGAAACGTGCCAACAGTTTAATCAGATCTTGACTTGGGAGTTGGATATCTAGTAGACTCCAGAAAGTAGTATATCTTTGCAGAAGAACACCAAAACTCCCAAGTCTTTCAGGTCAAATAAAGTATAGATAAGTCCGTATCAGACGACCATATAAAATACGCAAGTGCCTCCACCGATCGTAGACAGATTCATGAGAAGCTGATAAAAAGGAATAAACAAGATGAGCTCGAATCAACATCACTTGTTTCCTTAAAAAAAAACAACTACACTTTTAAAACTGACAAGGATTGGAAGAAAGGTCTGCCCATGGCCAGCCTCCATTAAGCTAATGTATGCATGGTGAAGCACCTGCTTGGCATAGAGTCATTGACGCCTTGAGGCACCTCCTTTCTGTCATTGCTCCCCAGCTAGCAAATGGCGAATCAGCAGTTGTTAGAGGAATCCAAAGATGAACACAGACCATTGGAGTATTGCTTGCGGAAGTACCTCTTGCTGCTGGCCATTATGGTGGCCACGGTGACATATGCTGCGGGGTTCAACCCGCCGGGGGGTGTCTGGCAGAATACCGAGGCCGGGCACCTCGCCGGTGAGTCCATCATCCGAGATACGTACTATCCCCGGTACCTTGTTTTCTTCTACTGCAATGCGGCTGCATTTGCTTTGTCCATTGTGGTCATCATCCTCATCCTCATCCTTGCCGTCGTACACGAGAAGGAAGAGCTATGGATCTCCATGATCCCACTGCGGGTGGCCATGATGCTGGATCTGCTTGGCCTCGTGGGGGCCTATGCTGCTGGGACCAGCCGGGGTGTGCTAAAAGCCAAGAATGCCTGCGTGTTAGTCGCCATTTTTGTCTATATGGCTGTTCAAGTTGTGCTGACTTCATTCTCTGAGAAATCACAATTGTTCAGATGCACAGGTAATGCCTCTAATGCACATTTGACAGAGATCATAAACTGTTCCTAACAGCAACAGGATAATCACAACCAGGTGATAGCAAAAAGAAGGAAGCAAAGGGGCAACTGGAATCAGCTGATGGCAAAGGGGAGATAAACAAAGAGGAGGAAAAAGAGCGACGCCGCAAGCTCCTGCTACTTCTTGCTACATTTGTGATGAGCATCACATACCTGGCTGGGTTGAGCGCGCCTGGTGGCTACTGGGACAGCAGCAAGGAGGGCCACATTGCAGGTGACCCAGTCATGCGGGAACACCATTCTATCCGCCTGAAGGCATTCTTCACCTTTAATGCTATTGCATTTGTCATGTCCCTGCTCATCATTATGCTGCTCTTAGACAAGCAGCTCGTCATCCCACTACTCAAGGGCAAGAATCAGAACAAAACCAGCCCAGTACGGACCTTTGTGCTCAAAGCATACATCTTTATCGCTTTTGTCGGTCTTGCGGGGGCCTATGCCACCGGAAGCAGCCGAGAATGTGACACTACCATCTATGTGGGCAGTCTGGTTCTTGCCGTTCTTGCATGCATTATTGTCCTCAAGGCGATTATATCCTGTCAGACATATTCAAATGACAGGTATTGAATGCTTTTTCTGCTTCCAAATATTATTGCCATCTGTAATTCCATCTTAAATTTGCATGCTCAATGGCTCATGAATCACCAGGTCAAACAATGTTGAAGAACAGACGAGCACAGGCAATTGTAGAGCACAGATAAACACAAGCAATGGTGGTGCAGAGTCTCTCTCAAGCAATGGTGGTGCAGAGTCTGTCTCAAGCAATGGTGGTGCAGAGTCTGTCTCAAGCAATGCTAGAGCACAGCCAACCACAACCAATGGTGGTGAAGAGACGAAGACAAGCAATGCTGGAGCACAGAAGAACACAAGAAATGCAGATTTTATGGATAAGGCTCAATCTCTTGTTGTACTGCTTTCAACCCTTGTAGCAACCGTCGCATACCAAGCAGGACTGGTCCCTCCTGGTGGTGTTTGGCAGGACAACTGGAACGGACATGAGGCTGGCGATTCAATACTCCTATCCATGCAACCAGAACGTTACAGGGTATTCTTTTACTGCAACTCAATAGCCTTCGCAGCGTCCTTGGTCATCATCATCTTGGTCCAGTATAAGCCTATACTCAAGCTCCGCGTACTCCAGTTTGCCATGATATTGGATCTGTTTGGCCTCATTGGTGCATACTCTTCTGGGAGCTGCCGAGATGTAACCACATCCATTTATGTCATTGCCTTGGCTGGAGCTGTCCTAATCTATGTGGTTATTCATGTTCTGTTTGTCACGCTCGAAGATGAAGACATACGAAAGGAAGGCAGGGAGAAGGACCGGAAACTTGAGGACAAGAGACGCAAGAGGTTGCTCCTTTTTGCTGTCTTGTGTGTGACACTTACTTACCAAGCTGGGTTGACCCCACCAGGCGGATTTTGGCTGATGGATGATGAGTTTGGGCACCATGCAGGTGACCCTGTCCTCTTTTACAACTATCCACGCCGTTATAAGGCTTTCTTCTACTGCAATTCAATGAGCTTCATGTCATCGATTGCCCTAATTATACTCCTTGTGAATCCGAACCTGTACAGGCCAGCCATACGAAGTTATGCTCTCTCAGTTTGCACTGCGGTAGGCATGTTTGCGCTTTTGTGTGCCTATGCTGCTGGAAGCACTCAGCACCTGAAAACATCCATCTATATCTTTGGTTTGGTGCTGTTGGTATTCTTCATTATGATCGTACTCCTAATATATTCCTATTGGAGACAGAAAAGAATCATGTCACATAACAAAGAAGATACAGAAAAAGGAAAGTCCCCTGGCACACAAAATGAGGATATCACAAAACAAGACAGTAAAACAGTGAAGCCTACTGGGACAAAATCTGATGTAGAAATGGAAGAAGATGACATAACAGCGAAGTCCACTAAGTTAAAAGAAAATGACAGCACAGGAAAGTCCTCTGAAATAGAAGATGAGGGTGAAGCCAAACAAAATAGATTAGAACATTCTATTGAGAGAGCAAAACAAGAAACAGCCACAGAGTCTCCCAAGAAAGAGGACAAATCAAAAAAGAAACATGCCACACGCAAATACTTGATGCTGCTAGGAGTCTTGGCTGCAAGTGTTACTTACCAGGCCGGTCTCAACCCACCCGGCGGTGTGTGGCAGGGAAATAGTAATGATCATGCAGCAGGTAACCCAGTTATGCATGACAAAAAAAGATACCGTTATCTCATCTTCTTTTACAGCAACTCTACTTCATTTGTGGCATCCATTGTTGTTATCATCCTGTTGCTACCAGAGAAACTGCTGGGGGAGGCATGGTCACTTAATGTGATGAACATAACGATTGTGTTGGACTTACTTGGCCTCCTACTAGCCTACATGGCTGGCTCAAGAATGAGGTTGCAGTCTTCTGGATATTTCGTCGTGTTTGTTATAGGTGCACTAGGCTTTGCTGCAATTCACAAGATTTGGTCATATTTGCAAAGGAAAAGAAATGATCAGCACAGACTGTTAGACCAACCCAGATAGTCAAGTTAGGGAGTTTAGATGTTCTAGTGTGCTTTGTAATTCTATCCATCCATGCTTTCTTTGTTTAGTCGGATGCATTATGTTCCAATATATCATTAGCTGGTTAAAGTCAGACTCAATCACGCTACTACTTCATTCTTATCTCCCCATTAACAGCCCATAAATCAAACAAGAGCTACAAATGTTAAAAGTTAAATCGCTATACATATTAACTTAAGTGCTTTCTAAAATTTTTAGGACTTTAATTAACTCTGTATTTTTTGAAAGCCCTTACCCATTTTCAGAATCCAAAACAGATTTTTCTTTTCCAAATTTTCAAAAGTATGTGACAGATTAAGTCTTGTACTTAATATATGCTTAGTATCTATTTTGGAAAATACTTGGGTGCCTTAGGATATAAGCTACTAGTCCATATGTCTTAGTGTGTAAGCTACCTTTGTGGCTTAGGGTGTAAGCCACTAGTCCATATATATGTATCCAAACCATCCATGGTTGAGGTTGATGCTGATGGAAATGAAAAACTAGCCCAAAACCTGTGTTTGTGTGCTAACAGTATGGAAATATTTTTCGGGGGAGATATGGAAACATGTTGGAGGGTTTCAAATGGTCCAGTTCGCTGCTGTGATCAGTGTTCTTAAGGTGACAAGGCGAGGCAAGGTGACCGACCCCTGCTCAATTGCCTAGGCGACGCCTTAAGCGTTTAAGGCGAGGATAAGGCAACGCCTTACACACAGGCACAAGAGGCATACTAGACATATATGAGACAAAAAAGAGAGGAAGAACATGAAGGGGTGAGGAAGAGCAGGGAGACAGATCCGTTAGAGAAGAAGGGAGCAGCAGGAGGGAGACAACCATCTTCTCTTTCCATCTTTCCCCCTCTTCTCTCTCCAATCTCTGCCCGTCCTATTCTTTATTCTCTTTCCATCTTTCACCCTTCCCTCTCCCTAAATTGTCGCACATGCGATTTCCATCCTATCTTAACGCGATTTTCTTCCCAGCATGCATAATTCCCTACAGCGCATGCGCCCTTGACCCCCCCCCCCCCCCCCACCTTGCCCGTGTCTACCTGATTTCACAATATATTAGAATCCAAGACGTGTAGAAGGGTAGGCGGTGGGGACGCTCTGATCCCTGATGGCGCTCAGACGCCTAGGCGATGCTTTTAAAACCATTGGCTGTGATATTTTTGAACTGCATATTTTTGCTATTACATGGAAAACATACATTGATAGTCTCATACACACCATTAAGCATGCACACAACACTCACAAACCCATAAGTGCACCCCCTGATACATGCTCAAAGAGAAGGAGCCAGCGACAAATCCCTGACTTCACTAAATTCCCATTGAAAGTACACCATGTGTGTGTAATATATGTGGGCACTAATATTTAAATCCTAGTGGGTGGAATCATGCACTCGACTCCACCACCACACATTTGGTGTTTCCCCATTTTTGAACTGCAATTGATATCTTTTCAATCTTAAAAGTTAACATATTTTCTGGAAGGGTTTTTCTCCGTAACATTTCTTTAGAAAAGTTTGTCAGTACCAAAATAAAAGTGATTTTAATGGCTAGGATCTTATAGAGGAGTGAACATATGTCACTTGCTTATAAAGTATGAAAAACTACGAACAATTGTTGTTTATTTATCTCTCTAATAAAATTTCTGTCTTCCTGGGCCCAAACCTAGCTCAGCCCAGTCTTCTGCTCGTCCCCTCAGCCCAGTGCGGTCTCCACTTCAGTCCAAGCATGGAATCAGCAATGAAGACCAAAGATATGTGATTAGGGATGAGCAAGGGTCAGGCGACCCATTTTAGTTCATCTTTATGAACATAACTAAGTGTATATATACAAAATTGAACACCACATGGACCAGATGTGAAGTGGGGGCCATAGCCAGGCTCAACCCTACACCTCAAAACATATTTCTGTATAGTGCAAAATTTCCTGCATCCAGGACTCAGCTATCATGATTCATGATCTTGCATACATCTAGACAGGCCATAGATCAGTCCTAAAGTTGTGATTGTATACAATATAATGGGTACAAAAAGAGCTGCCAAATATAATTCTTGCTGATTTTGCAAAGAAATGAAGAGGAGAGAAGTGCATCTCATTATATCCTAAAGAGTAAAAACTATCAACTTCTGCTGGTCATTTAAAAATAATCCACTTCTGCTGGCATTCACTATCAATGTACTTTGAACATCGATCCAGAAGCAATTGAATAGTCTGAATGAGGGAACAACCTACAACTACATGATATATTATAGTGTAAATTCACAAATGGCCAGGGCCTAGTGGAAATCATGAAGAACTTTGGCCCGGCATCCATGTGGTTGAACCTCATGAAGATTTTGCTATTTCATTTGCAAATAGTCGGATGTATGTATCAGTTAAGACGGGACGAAACAAATAACTGGTACTGGAATGCAATGCACATGGATCAGAAATAAAGAACACAAAGGTCATGTACAAGAAACAGATAAGTGGAGGCTAAACAGTTGTTTTTTAACTGATTTATAAGAAACATGTGCGACTATGTCCCAAGATAATCCATAAGAAACATTGTTCTCTTACAGGCTACTGAAAATTAGTCAGGGTTGCAAGCAACAGATAAGAAACTGTAACAGTAGTAGTAAGTTTGTGACATTCGTTGGGCTATTTCGGCACAATCTATCGAATCGACTATATAATTTGCCTCCTCTGTGAGGAAAATGCAGGGGGTTAGTGCATACGAATGTGTGAAGCGGTACACCACTGATGAACAATGCAATTACAAACAGCCGAGGACAGAGCAGGAGGAAGGAGATGAAAAGGAGGAGCGATTAATTAGGGCGAGTAGCTCACCTGTGACGACTCTCGCGTAGCCAGCAGAACGTGTACGGTGGCGGCTGCCCCTTCCCCCATCGGTGCGCGAGGCGAGGGGATGAATCGAAGAGGCCAAGGGAGGAGTTTAACCATCATGGGTTCATGGCCTTGTATGCTCCCGCCGCCGCCGGCACTTGTGGTGGTGGTGGTGGCGGCGGGTGGTAGCCGATCGGAATGCCGGCGCAGGTGGGCGGCGCCGCGGTAGGTCAAAGGGGATCGGGGGAGGGCTCGCGCTGCGGGCTGCGGCAAGCTGGAGGGGGAGCGAGATGCTGGGAGTGGGAGGTCGATTCGCGGGGCGGATGATCAGGGACTGACACATCGGCAGTTCGAGCCGTCTGCCCGTCCAGGGATACGATGAATTTGATGACGATGGATCGCACGAGAATTATTTTTTCGAGTAAATTTCAAAATAAAAAAAAGCAGATACATTAAATTATACAAAACTACATATTTAACTCGTTGTATCACAAAACAACATATTTAACATCAAATTTATCATAAAACTAAGTATTTAAGATAAAGTTTCACAACATGTTTAGTAACTAAATTATCACAAAACTATTTTTTTAGTGGAATTGCTACCTGTCTGTCGACAGAAAATTGAGGGTTGCATCGTTCGTTTTTTGGACCGTGCGATTTGCTTGCGATTCGTGCTCGCTAACCGGGTCCTCAGGTTACAACCCATTATGACTAGTCAATAGGATGAGCTCGATGGGCTTTTTACCGTTCCCCTCCTAGAGAAATTCTCCCTCCGTCGACGCGAAATGAGAGGCGATGCCATTGACGATTCTGAGGCGATTTGTTCTTCGGTTCCCTACTCGATCTTAGTGGTAATCTATGGCGAGGTTCTTATTTTGGAAGCTTGGAATCTCTGTGCCCGTTTTGGTGAGTTTTTTGTTGGCTGATTTGCTCTTTTTTATGCATTTTGAGAAGTAGTTTTATGCGATTTGACAGGAATTTGAGTTCTATTATCTGAAATCCTCGTCGTTAAATGGATTTGTGAGCCACTAATTTGACTGGATTTGAGGTTCTTCTTCGATTCCGAGACGTTGAGCTCCCTCGTTATCTAGGTATTCTCTGTGGACTTGATTTGTTCTGATAGCTGATTTGTGAGCTGATTCGGTTTATGGTGCTTCTTGTGACTCGTTAGTGCTTGTTCCCAACTTGATCTGTTCATTCTATCGAGCTCTGCCATGGATTGTGGAAATGGAGTGTGGCTGTGCTGATTGACACGGTGTTTTTCAGGCGAAAGGCTTGCGAGGAATGTGGTGACCATGGCGGTTTGGGAGGCGTCGACCAAGCCGCTGGCTGCCAATAATGGAGACGACCGAGTTCATCAACGCCTTGAAACAGGAGGTACATAAACATTGCTTTCCTCTCAGCTGAAATACAGTATTAGTCAAGGTGTACTAACCTGAGTATTATGTCTGACCAACCACTTGAACCATTTGGTATTTGCATGCAGTGGGACAGAATTGAGGACAAGTACACGGTGATGACACTCGCAGCCACTGCGTCGCTCAGGATGTGGAGCCGGCGGAGTTGCATCGGTCGGTACTGAAACTGGAGAATCACATTTGCTTAATTTTCAGGGAGTTTTTGATTATGTAGGTACAGTCGTTAACTTGGGTGTTTGGTTAATTACCTTGCAGGCAATTGGCATGCCTCATGTTATTCCTGGTCTAATGAAGGCTGTTGGCATTGTGTACAGTGAAGGTAAGATTATGCACATCAGAAGTTCAGGAAAAAAAAATCTCCCCATTTATAAGTAATATAAATTCTTTGACATATAGATATACTTTGTGCAGTTTTCTAGGTACATGCCTAAATCTGATATACTCTGAATTTTTTGACATTTTTGCTATTGACTTTGGCTGTAATATAAATTCTCTGAAATCCAAATTTTGATATAAGTTCTGTTCTGAATACAGTACATATGCAGTACATATTCTTTGAAATGCACCTGCACATATGTTCTCCTAGTTGTTCAAAAATGGTTTTAAATCTGTACTGCTACTTATTGTAAGACAGATTACTTGATAGATTATATAGATTCTATATTGTTAACAGTTTCTATAGATTCTATAAACTGAATCAAACATATACTAAATCTTTGATGTTTCTGTAAAGTCTCAAGTCTACAAGATGTTAGTTACATATTTTTAGTATTGAAATTACAGTGTTTTTTTTATGTAATTCTTGTACAAAATGACTGTAATTTAACAACAAAAATTTAGAATGCTGCTGAATATTCTCAATATAGTGATTTGAATCGTTTATGGCAACTTGTAGCAATTTTTAGTTTATTTTTAGGTTGTAATGCATTATGTTATTCGGATTTTGTTGTGCTATGAATTTCTGAATTTCCTGCTAATCAGTAGATATGCAATGATTTGTCTGTTTTCTGAATATTCTCAGTGAGTTATGGTCTGAATTTAGAATTCTTTGAAGAGCAAAAAAATAATCTGAAGTTGTATTTCATTGCTGCCTAAGGATGCTAGATTGCAATCTAAGAGTTTCCTGACAATTGTACTTTAAATAGTCAAAATGCTAGCTTAAGACAATTGTCATCTTTTTTTGTAACCATCTATGTCTCTGACATTGATCAGCAAGTGAGTAATGTAAAGAGAGTGGTGTATTTGAATTTTTTTTTCTGTCTGATCATCCTTTTGTTTCCTCTCTAGGTGACTGAACAGAAGCTTGCCGTAGTGTTTCTAATTGTGGACAAGTAACTTATACTTGTTCATCTCTGAAATCTGAAATTACTCTCTGTCCTGGAGACTGTACTGGAAGAAGCTATACTGCTACTAAAGTTCAGATTGGACATATAAGTTCAGAAAAAAAATCAGAATTATATCTTGAATTCATATAAGTTCAAAAAATTCAGAATTATGTCTTGAATTCATACATCTGAGTACAGAAATTGATACCATTTAAGTTTCTCAGATCTGTTCAAATATGCAATACAAAATTGTCAGATGTTTTCTGTGAAGTTCTGTGATGTTTCTGTAAAGTTTTTAAGTCTAGAAGTTTTTTTTTTGTTATGAATTTAACATGCTGATTGGTTTTTCGATTGGTTTTCCTCTTTCTCCTTGTATTTGATTCTTCTCCTCCATCTCCATCTCCTCCTTCTCTTCTCTCTTTGATAGATCTGTTTGTGTGTAAAAATCCCGAAGTGTTTTATTCTTGCAAACCAAGTTGCTTTATTGCTTTACTGATCAGATCACGTGACACTGTAAAGATTCTTCTTAGTAGTCAAGTTTTCTCAATAGGGTATAAGGTACGCGATTCTGTTAATCTGGGCCTAATATTAGATTTGAGTAACGGTTTGAATTTGGGCTATTATTTGGATTTGGGTCCTGGTAGCATCGAATTGATTTGGGCCCATTAGCATCAAATGTATTTGGGCTCAAATAAATGGGTCATGAATAGCCTTTCAGATTTAGGCTAGTATGTTTTTTTTTTTTAATTTTTTGTTCTAAAAAAACTGAGGCTGTTTGATTCAGATCTTGTGGCTAGAAAATTCGACAGATTGCAAGTTAAAAAATCGGTCGACTGAGTTGTATTGTAATTCTCCTCAAGTAATGATAGACCTATTTCAAACATATGAATTTGCAATTTTTTCCTCAACTAACTAATGGAGGCATGAAAGTTACTAATCAGATTTAAACAATATATCAATTACCTGATTGTGATGTTGTTGCGTTCATGTCCATGTTAATTTCTTCTTCTGATAAAAGCTTTGTGATATACCTGCATATATAGACACAAAATTACAGTGTTTAGAATTTAAAATTACAGTGTCTGTAACATGTAATTATGAAATAAATTGACTGTAATTTCACATAAGTGACTCATACCTGAACTTGGTACATGTTTTGTCACTCTTGAATTGCTATCTTCATTATTCCCATCTTTGAATCCTTCAAATTTAGACATTTTTTTTCTCACAGTGTAAATTAAGTAGTTAAAATACTTTATATAATTCTATCTTCTAATTTTGCTCTAGATTCTTTCCAGATTTTCTTGATCACAAGTTGTCAAAATTTGTATAACTACCATTAGCAAAATGTAAATGTACATGCAAATTGGATGAGTGAAAGTACAACAGTTACATACCTGTGCTTTGAAGTTGCTTATCTTCCACTATATTTTGATAGTTTGATGAATTTTTCTTCTTACTACTGATACAATTTTTCTCTTTGTCCTCTGTGATGATTGCAAATAAAATGTTTTTTTTTATTTTCATATTAATTTTCCTGTTTGGTTCTTACTGTGATAGAATCTTAGTTTGAAATAATGCACTGCTATATCAATCAAACATACCTGGATTTATTAACCACTTTTATAAAAAAAATCACTATAATTTAAAAATAGTGATTCATACCTGTACTTGATATCTCATTTGTCATTGTTAAGCTGCTATTATCATCATTGTCACCTTGTATACTTACAAATGAAGGGAAATTTAAGTTGAACATTTTGTTTCCAGGTAATGACAAATTAGATTTGAAACTAAGCTCATCACAGTTGTGACATTTACATATTTTTTATTTAGAAATTACAGAGTTTTGTTTGTGTAATTCCTACATAATTTCACTGTAATTAGTTTGAATAGTTATTAAATACAACATACTGATAGATTTTTCTAAATATCTGTTTGATTCTAAATTAAGAACTACTTAAAAATTAATATTAGTTCTTTCATTATGGTATTATATTTTTTTTACTTTTGATTTATGACATCCTAATTCATAGGAAGATAAAATCATATGGAATTGAAATTCAAAAATTTTATAACGGTTTGTCTCTTATCATGCACTTTTCTCTTTTTCTGTACTTTTTATGCAATAATTGTACAAATTGAACAATTAGAAACCTCTACATTTGTTTCCAGATTGGAGATGCTCCTATTCCACATTCTTTACAATATTTGATGCTTTTCCTTTGTTAGTTGTGATGCCTGGAAATAATTGTAGAAAATGAACAACATATAAAATCATACAAAATATCTTTTGACTATGTTGAAATTACATAAACGTTACATTGAAATTACTGTGTTTATTAAATGTAATTCCTGTACCAAATGATTGTAATTACATATATAGTTGCAGAAAAAGAAGTCTATATGAAATCAAACAAAATTACATACAAATGCTCTAAATTTAAGTTTTGGAGCCAGTTACATGAATTTATTACTGAAATTATAGTGTTTTTTCTATGTAATTCTCATACGAATTCATTGTAATTTGACTTATAAGTTAGAAAACAGATCCAATTAAACTGTTTTTTCTTTATAAGTAATCAACTGTATTGTTTTGGGTCAAACTTGCTTTCTACAATTTGCTTTTAGATGAACTTATAGTACGATTTGATTTTGATCCGCCTGCTAGTGAACTAATGTAAGCAAAGTTTGTTTCTCTTGACTCATTTAATGAAATCTGCTTGAAAGTTAGTTTATGCTACAAGTGAACTTTTTGAAAATTAATTTTGTACAGAATTGGAGAAAGAACAAATAACTTGTATCATTGTTTTTCTCTCAGAACTTTAAATTGTAAAGAATTAAGTAATGTTCATTTGTGCTATATATAAACACTTTTTTGATTAAAAGTTATACCCTGTTTATTTTTTTTTCCAAACAGTTAATGTATGTTTTGATTTGTGTATCTTTGCAGACCATTTTGCAATGGAATACAAAATTACAGTTCAAATCAATCCAACTACGCAAAATAATCAATTTTTGAATCTGAAAATATTCAAATTTGAAACTGTATAGTGTTAGTGAAATAATCAAATCGTTGAATATATATTAGTGAAATAATCAAATCGTTGAATATCTATTTTATTTCTGTTTACTAAAATCAGTTTATTTTGGAAGATAAGTTAAAGTTTAGACTTAATTTGATTATAAGATTTAAAATTCTGCCTATTCTCCAGACTTTAAATTTAACATTAATGTTGTAATGTTAAATGCTCTAGATTTACACTGATATATCACAATAGGTACAGCACAAATCATTCTTCTAAATGTTCAGATTAAATAATAAGTCAAACAGTTCAGATTAAATTATTATTCCTGGATAGAATTGTTCCTGTATCTGTTTTTCTCTGTGTGAAGTCCTGAAGTGATTTGCTTTTTCTTGAAGTGATGATCAGATCACGTGAGTTTCCAAAGATTCTTCTTGGCTGTCAAGTTTTCTCAATTTGGTAATGAGTCACGTGAACTGTGCAAGACAAATTGGGCTTTATTTGGGATTTCAATTCTGATTCTGAAGATCAAATTTGTTTGAGCAGTGAATCTTAAAAATTTGTTATTGGGCTTAAATTTTATTATATGATGGGCCTTTAATTTGATTCTCCTTTTGTTGTTATACAGTGGGCTGAAAACATCAGTTTTGGGCTTTTTTTGGGCCACGAACTAATTTGGGTCCTGAAAGATGGGCTTGCGAATACACTGTTCCTAGCCTGTTTGTAGTTTTTCAATTATCTGTATAACTAGCAAAATGCCCGTGCTTCGCTACAGTGTATTAAAACTAAAAATATTTGTTTTAACCGAAGTTATTTTCACACTGCTTTAATACTTTTGCTCGCTAGAAAAAGTTTCAAATGACAGAGAGAAATATAGTTCCGAACAAAAGGGAGATAAAAAAAGACAAAGCCGGTTTGATTTCCACCTTTAGACGGTGCAAGTCAACATGGACTCTGAAGATATGGGTAGATCTACGGAGTGGCTCGGCAGCACGGTCGACCAGCGAACCCACTCAGACCAATCGACGACCGATCGACGACCGTAGCACGGTAGGTAGCAGCCGCATCTGGCTGTCCGCTTCCCTTCCGCGACACCGGTGACCATGACTCTATGCTATTATTATTTCAATATTTCTTATTTTTAATTATAGCCTTCATCCGTCCTGTGACGAACGGAAAGCCCATCCCTCCTGGCCATCGGCGAAAACCATAGCCTCTCGCCCGAGTTGGGGCGAACGACAAAAAGCAGTGGTGCCGGCGTATGCCCCCTGGCTGGTGCGCGCACTCGCCCGAGGGTGAGTGCGCCGCCGTCGAGCGGCCTTGCCTCGGCGCCCCTCCCCATCATCTCCCCCTCGTCTTCCGCGCAGCGTCGACGACGGCTAGTGGCGGTGGTTGATTACCCGCGCTCGTCGGCGACGACCAACGGCGGCAGTTGGCTACGGTGAATATGGCAGCGGTGGCGGCGGGTTGGCGGCGGCCGTGGGCGGATCCGAGCGTGGTGGCAGCGGCTCTCTCCACCCCCTCTAGCCTCCCTCCTACGGCAGATCCGCGGGTGGCGGCCGCGGGCGGATCTAGCGGCGGTGGCTCCCTCCGCCCCCGCTCGCCTTCCTCCCACGGCAGATCCGGCGGCGTTGGCGGCGTCGGCAGCGTTCGCGAGCGGATAAGGAGTGGCGGTGGTGGCGTTGGCGGCGACTGTGGATGGATCCGGCGGCGGGCGCGCGTTGGCAACGACGGGCGGTGGCGGAGGGCTTCCCACACGGCGTCGGCGACGACCGGCCGTGGCGGAAAACTTCCCGTGCGGCGTCGGCGACGGCCGGCAATGAGGTATTTCGTTCCCTTTTTTTTCAATTTTTGGTTAAAATTTTTGGGGCTTTTCTTCGGGAATCCGAGACCCCCTTTTTTTGTACGGACGAAAAATCACCCGATGGATGAAACGGACTGTGAAGAAAGAAAAATTACAAATATTTTAATTAGTGAAGATATAGAAAAAATTCCCATGCGTTGTACTGGGTGAAGACTATCTTAATCTTATTATTATTATATGGTTTATCTAAAGTGAAATTAATTGTAGGAATTTGCTTGGATATTGTTTTTAGTTTTTACACGATCATGAGCTACAATTAGGAGTCCGATCGTCTCAAGTTAGTATGCAAATTGAAGATGTTTTTTTACAAATATAGAAGAAGCTCCTTCTATATTTCTAAAAGCAAACAAATTTAAAACCTACTCAAATACAAATTTGTAATTCAAAAAGCAAATGAACTTAAAAGCCAACTTAAACACGTATGATGTATCACAGTACTGATAAAAACATCTTCAATTTAAATTGAAATAGTAGAGATAGAGCAGTATTTAAATGATATTGAAAACATTCATGGCTAGTAAAACAAGTATACTAATTAAACCATCGTTGTCTAAAAAAAAATTAAACCATCAATGCTCACCATCAGCCAGCTATTTGCCCTCCACGCGTCGTTGAGTCTCGGGACACGTCCCAGTCATCCATGGCGACAACGGACGGACCCACACTTCTCGCCACTTCCCAGTCGGACCTATCCGCCCAGGCGCCCTGGTATCGGTCTTATCCTCTTTTCCTCGCTTTCTCCGTCATCCCTCGTTTTCTCGCGCCGCTGCTTGCCTCCGCTGAGCTCATCTCGCTGCCCTCCTCACCCATCGCCCCTGGCCACGCCTTCACTGCCGACTTCGCCGCCTTGGCTACGCTCGCGGTCGCGCTCGCCTGGAGGGCCGCCGCGCCGTGGCGGGATGGGGTCGTCGCGCAGACTCCACCGCACCAGGTCGCCGCGCTACTTATCTCCACCGCACCGTCGGCCATGGAGATAAAGGCTGCTGCCACCGGCGATAAGGCGGTAGAGGAGCACCTTGTGATTTTTTTTTTGTCATCTCCATCTAGGTAGAGGAGCGGGTGAGGTGAAGCGATGATTTCTTTGATTGGGATGTTTTGATTGAGGATTACTTAAGTACACATGTGCCTTTCTTGGGTAAGGGAAGGATGTGGGTGGTTGATTTGGAGGGAGTTTCTTAGATCGGTTTGGGATTGGGGGAGAGTCGCTGCTGGATTTGGGTTTCTTGCTGGTTTCTCATGATTCTTCTTCCCCCACAGCCACGAGATAGCTAGAAGAAAATGGTAGGCCAATGCAGTCTTTCCTTCTCGAATGCCTCGGCAGCGAGAGGAGCTGTCCTTGAAAATTTGTGGTTGTTTTACGGGGATCTTTGCCTCTTTGTGCTTTCCTGATTCGCTAGCTTTGATGCTGGTTCTTGCCTTGTGATGTGGTGTATCCGATTTGGTTCATTTGTTGCATTGAAAACCTCCTGGTCTGGGCTGGCAGACGCTCAGGATTTCTCGGAGGCGGGAGGCCCAGCACCGCGCCATGCGTTTTTCCACCGCGGGGGCAACCGAGACGGATTACACGAATACACAACACGGAAGTCACACGCGTAGATTTTTATCGGATAACAGGAGACGGACGATTTTTTTAGCGGAAGCCTTGCGTATTTTTTAATTAGATATATATAGATTTATATGCTTCAAGTCCTTGGCGGTTGGATCTAGATCGGAGGGACAAAAAATTTGACAGATTGAGAGGGTTGTTTTCTGTCGAATGAGCAGTAGACAGTCCATTATCACAAAACTATAGATTTAGAACTAATTTAGTCATAAAATAATAATGCTTATAGATCCAACATAATAATAATGGTTATAGGGATTTAAAGTTGTAGTTTTGTGATAACTCCAATTTTAAATATGTAGTTTTGTGATATTTAACTTTAAATCTGTAGTTTTGTGATAAATATGATGCTAAATCTGTAATTTTGTGATATAACGCCTTAAATTTGTAGTTTTGCAATAGTTTAATCAAAATACCAAAAGTTTTGTGAAATTTACTCTTATGCGTTTCTTGCCAATTAATTACTCCACATGTTTGCCACCATTAAAACACATAATAGCATATTTGCATTAAGAAAAAAGAAGCTAGAATACATGTTATTTAGCTTCTCCTAAACCTCCAACTCTTTTCTTTCAAACAGTCTAGTTCCCACCTAAATCTTAGGAATATGTGGTTGTAGAATAAAATGAATTAGAAAAAAAATACTGAAGCTAACTACGTCACATCATCTATAATTTAGTACATATTAAAACTCGACATGTAACCAATGCTAAAATTTATCATTTCCATAATATTTCAATCTATATCTATCTATCATTTCTTTCTTTAACATTTAATACATATCCATCCATCATTTCTACAACATTTAGCATATATTTATCATGTATTTGGCAGCAAAGCAGGAGATGTAAGTGATTTGTGATTCAAAGACATAACTTTTATATACCAGCTTATTCACTATATATCATCTCTGTATCCATTTCCCACCTATTAACTTTTGTACTACATTATTACCCACCCACTAACTATTTATTAGTTTATTTTTCACCTACTAACTTTTGTGTTAGTTTATTTCACCAACTATCGTATTTTGTATTACGATTTGTTTTATTTTTACTAGGAAAGGAAAAGGCATAATTTCCTATATTTGTGGACTGAGGTAATATGCCATTCTATTTGCAAGTTTTTAGTTTTTGGCATCCAATTCACACGTCTGTCGCAAAATATGGCAAAAGAGGACGAATTTCTCCCCTCTCTCTTTATTTCTTCTTTTACATTTTTCTCACAAATGTGTGGACGGGTTTTACACAGCAGCACGTTACATACGTAGATCGATGAACTGATTTTTTTTTATAAGACAAACTGCGCTAGACAGTACAACATTTCATATTTGATATATTTTCATAAAAAAAAAGATTACAAGATTAAAACATTGGGTAACTATATATAATGACGAAAAAAAATAAAGACACGCCATCACATGCTAACGACTCCTATCACAGACACGAGAAAATTCTAGTAACAAATTGACCGCCGCTATGTAATTTCCTCTAAATAAATTTTATGATTTTGCTTTGTTCAAGAGCAATCAAATTTGTTTTATGTGTTCTATACATTGTTATTTCAATCACTATTACAAATCGATTTTTCATGGCACCACCTTATTTGCTTTTTCTGTGGCGTTTATACGTGGAAACCGTCAGCAAAAATATTATGAGGGGTGGGGGGCTATGAACGAAAATATGTGCAACATTCTGAACACATACCGAGGGTATTAGAAAACCGGTTGCTTAGCAGAAAGCACTCGCAGTTGTAGGCATTGACGACGGTGTGCAGCACGTGAGCGAAGAGGAAGACGAGCCGTTGTGGTTGAACATGGAGCAATCGCGCGAAGCGCTTCCAAAAACTTTATTACCACCTTCTCCCGGTACAGGGCATCGAAGGTGAAGGTTACGAAAACCTGTTTTCCCGATCGTTGGTACATCGACAAGCGGGATGGAGTAGACTACGAGCGACGGTGCAGTACAGAGGAAGAGGCAAAGCCCTAGATTGATTTCACGTGTATTGCGTGGAGGCGACGACTCGACTTATATAGAGATATCAGGACACTTGATCAGGACGCCTGCACGATCTCCACTCTGCGTAACCGAAACGAATAAGTCGCATGCAACTTATCCGGACTCCACGCCATTTCACGTACTGGAATATTCAAAGTGTTTCAAAAAACAAATCTAAATTTCCCACAACAAAACAAAACCGTAAAAGGAGAATGCATCTACGCAAGGGTGATGACACCGCAGATGAACCAATTTTGACAAACCATTCAACGCGTACGTCGTGCACGCATGCACACGCACCGCCATGCTATTGCCATGCCAGGCGAGGGGAGCGAGCATGTTCCCCCTCTTTTCTCCACCTCATATGTCTCAAGTGGCTAGGAGAGCATACTCCCTTATAAGGAGATCTCTCTCTCCTAAAATAGGTAAGATGAACAGGGCCGGCCCTGACTTTTTGGTGGCTCAGTGTGGAAAAAAAAATGAAGGCTCCCATTCACCATAAAAATACAAGATAATATTTAAAAACTCATTGTCATTAACGAATTTCACACTAACAAGTTTAAAATACCAAAAAGAAATATCTCTAGATCATTTAAAACAATTTCTTCTAACAGTTCAGATGCAAAATCAGTGATGATAGTGTCAATAACAATCTCATCTAACAGCATCTTCTCAATGCACAAAGTAGTCTATCAGGCTTGGTACTATAGTATACATATTTTGGAGGCCCCTAATTTTTGGAGGCCCAGTGCGGTCGCACTGCCCGCACTGCCCCAGGGCCGGCCCTGGATGAACTAAACTCCCTATGCATGCTATCCCCATGAGGTGGGCTTTTGTGATTTTCTAAAGAATTAATCTTTGAATAAGCTAAGACCATCTATTAATTCCGACTAGAGTTCACCCATAATCGGAAAGCTGAAGTTAAGACACGGGGATTTTACCAACATGAGTTTTGCTGTCATTCTCGAAGGTCAAATTAAGAATTTCCTTTTAAAAAATTTCAAATTAAGAAACATTAAACAAAAAAATAAATGGGTAAAGCTTTTATATATGCATTCCTAACGATTTAAAAACCAATGCTAGAAAATAAATAATAGTGGAAAAATCTCAAACTCAGTTCCAAATTTAAGTTTCAAAATTCAAATTGTGGGCGTGACTGCTAAGCCAAGAAGCAAACGGTGAAATATGCTAAATGAAGACAAGATAATTCACAGTTAAATGGTTTGTGTTAATAAGAACTGTCAATTGTATGACTTGCAAAACTAGAATATCCATTAGCCGTTCCTCGCCATAGAAGCTTTCGACCTGCAAAACTAGAGTAAGCAAGAGAGAAACGTGCTAACAGTTTAAAGAAAATCTTCACTTGGGAGATGGATATCTAATAGACTGCAGAAAGTCAGTCTTAGCAGAAGAATACAAAAAACTCCCATGTCTTTCTGGTCAAAGAAAGTATAGCCATGTCCAGATCATTTCCTTCAAAAAAAATCAACTACACATTTAAAAATGACGTACGAGGATTGGAAGAAAGTCTGCGCATGGTCAGTCTCCGTTAAGCTGATACCCCACAACTCTACATAATGCATGTTATGGTGAAGGACCTGATTGGCATTGCGTTGTTGACGCCTTGAGGCACCTCCTTTCAGTCACTGCTCCTCAGCTAGCAAACAAATGGTAAAACAGTCGTTAGAGTAATCCAAAGATGAAGACAAACCAGTGTAGTATTGCTTGTGGAAGTACTTCTACCTCTTGCTGATGGCCATTATGGTGGCCATGGCGACATATGCCGCAGGGTTTAACCTGCATGAGATATGATGACTAGATCCATAAAAGTCTTTACAGTGTTGGAACCTCGACAGTTACAATCTGTAAGTTTGGGCAGTCAAAATGTATAAGTAAACGCATCCCATCTGAAAAGAAAGGACAGCTACAGAAAGCAGCTAGACACACCCTGGAGTGTATACCAAACTTTACATACATGTATATCTCACGTTCACCATTAGTTGGAAAGCTGAATTTAAGACTATGGGCATTTCACCAAACAAGAGTTTTGCTGGCATTTTAGAAGTTCAAATTAAGAAACACTTCAATTCGTCTCCTGCATATCTTACACATTAGCATATATGCTGAAATAGAGCACTGGAATGAAGACAAGATAGTTCACAATTATGGCCTCTGTTAATGAGAATTGTGGCTTGCCTCGCAATTAAAAAGAACATCCAGTAGCTGTTGCTAGCCAAAGAGACTGTCAAGTTTCAACCTGAAAGTCCCTCAAAAAAAAGTTTCAATCAGCAAAATTAGACTAAGCAAGAGAAACGTGGAAACAGTTTAATCAAATCTTGACATGGGATTGGGATATATATGAACTCCATAAAGTCAGTCTTTCAGAAGAAAACAAACACTCGTCTTTTGGGTCAATAATTACATAGATGTCCAGATCACTTGGCCATATAAACAATTCAAGCCGCTCATAGACAGATTTATGGGAAGCTCAAACAAAGAGGAAACAAGGTGAGATCAAATCAACGTCAATGAATCAACTAAACTTTAAAACGACGAGGACGTCTGCCCAAGGCCAGTCTCCATGAAGCTGGTACAACACAACTCTATATAATGTATGCATGTTGAAGCACCTTCTTGGCATTGAGTCATTGACACCTTGAGGCACCTCCTTTCTATCACTGCTCCCCAGCTAGCAAATGGCGAATGGACACTCTACAGAGGATCAAGAGAAAGTGGAAGAAAAACCACTGGAGTTACTCTTGCGGAAGTACCTCTTACTGCTGGCTATTATGGCAGCCACAGTGACATATGCCACAGGTTTCAATCCACCCGGGGGTGTCTGGCAGGATACCGAGGCCGGGCACCTCGCCGGTGACTCCATTATCCGGGATACCTACTACCCCCGGTACCTTGTTTTCTTCTACTGCAATGCGGCTGCGTTCGTTTTGTCCATTATAGTCATCATCCTCATCTTGAGCCTTGCAATCGCACAAGAGAAGAAAAACTTTTGGATCCCCATGCTTCCACTGCGGGTGGCCATGGTGCTGGATCTGCTTGGCCTTGTGGGGGCCTATGCAGCTGGGACCAGCCGGGCCGTGCTAAAACCCAGGAATGCTTGGGTGTTGGCCGTCATTTTTGTCTATATGGTGATACAACTTGTGCTGACTTCATTGAGCAGCTGCACAGGTGATGCTCTTAACTCTTGCTTGACAGAAACCATAAACTGCCTAATATGGCAGAGGCTAAATATGTAACCCGTTTCCATTTCCTTTTAAAGAAAAGAAACCATAGACTGTTCCTAACATAACCAGGATAATCACAACCAGGTGATGGCAAAAAGGAGGAAGCCAAGGAGCAACTGCAAACAGCTGATGGCAAAGAGGAGAAAATCAATAAGCTCTCCCAATCAGGTCATAAGAAAGAGGAGGAAAAAGAGCGGCGCCGCAAGCTCCTACTACTTCTCGCTACATTTGTGATGAGCGTCACTTACCTGGCTGGGTTGAGTGCACCTGGTGGCTACTGGGACAGCAGCAAGGAGGGACACAATGCAGGCGACCTGGTCATGCGAGAGCACCATGCTATCCGCCTGAAGGCATTCTTTGTCTTTAATGCTGCTGCATTTGTCATGTCCCTGCTCATCATTATGCTGCTCCTAGACAAGCAACTAGTCATCCCACTACTCCAGGACCAGGATCAAAGCATGACCTCCCGAGTAAGGACCCGCTTTCTCAAAGCGTACATCATTATTGCTCTTGTCGGTCTTGTGGGGGCCTACGCCACCGGCAGCAGCAGGAATAGTGACACTACCATCTATGTTGGCTGTCTGGTTTTCGCTGTTCTTGCATGCATTCTTTTTCTCAAGGTGATTATATCCCCTCACCCACAAGGGTCAGCATCAGATTCAAATGGAAGGTATGGATGCATGAACATGTTTCTGCTTCCAAATATTATTAATATCTGTATTTCCATCTTAAATTTGCATGCTAATGAATCGCTAGGCCAAGCAATGGAGTAAAGAAGAACGCAAGCAATGGTGGAGTACAGACCAATACAAGCAATGCAGATATTCTGGAGAAGGCTCAATCTCTTGTTGTCCTGCTTTCCACTCTTGTAACAACCGTCACATACCAAGCAGGACTGATCCCACCAGGTGGTGTTTGGCAGGAGAATTGGAAGGAGCATGAGGCTGGCAATCCAATACTCTTATCTATTCAACCAGAACGTTACAAGGTATTCTTTTACTGCAACTCAATAGCCTTTGCAGTATCCTTGGTCATCATCATCTTGGTCCAGTACAAGCCTATCCTCAAGCACCACATACTAGAGCTTGCCATGATAATGGATCTGTTTGGCCTCATTGGTGCATACTCTGCTGGGAGCTGCCGAGATGTAACCACATCCATTTATGTCATTGCCTTAGCTGGAGTTGTTCTAGTCTATGTGGTTATTCATGTTATATTCATCACACTTGATGAGGACATGGGAAAGAAAGATGGGGACAAGGACAAGAAGGATGAGGGAAAGAGGCGCAAGAGGTTGCTCCTTTTTGCTGTTTTGTGTACGACCCTTACTTATCAAGCTGGGTTGACCCCGCCAGGCGGGTTTTGGCTGAAGGACGATGAGTTTGGGCACCATGCAGGTGAGCCTGTCCTATCTTACAACTATCCACGCCATTATAAGGCATTCTTGTACTGCAACTCAATGAGCTTCATGTCATCGATTGCCGTCATTATACTCCTCGTGAACCCGAATCTGTATAAGCCAGCCATACGAAGCTATGCTCTCTCTGTTTGCACCGCAGTAGGCATGTTTGCTCTCATGTGTGCCTACGCTGCAGGAAGCACTCAGCACCTGAAAACATCCATCTATATCTTTGGGTTGGTGGCTTTGGTCCTCTTCATTATGATTGTAGTCCTAATATGTTTTGTCAAAAAGGAAATGAGCCAGCTAACTCACAAGATGAGGAAGAAAGAGTCGTACAGAAGTCCCCTCCAGCACAAGATGAGGATGTCATAGAACAAGAAACTCAAACATTGAAGCCGAGCGAGACAATGTCTGCCGATGAAATAAAAGAAGACGACAGAACAACGAAGTCCGCGGACATAGAAAATGCGGGTGAAGCCAAAAATAATACATCCAACGAGACTAATGAGAAAGAAAAACAGGAAAGAGCAGCCACAGAGTCTAACGAGAAAGAGGATGAATCAAAAAAACATGCCAAACGTAAATACTTTATGCTGCTAGGAGTCTTGGCTGCAAGTGTGACTTACCAGGCTGGCCTCAACCCACCTGGGGGTGTGTGGCAAGGTAACAGCAATGGGCGTGCAGCAGGTAACCCGGTTATGCATGACAACAAAAGGTACCGTTACCTCATCTTCTTCTACAGCAACTCTGCTTCCTTTGTGGCATCCGTTGTTGTTATCATCCTGTTGCTAAAGGAGAAACTGCTAAGGGAGGACTGGTTGTTTAAGGTGATGAACATAACGATTGTGTTGAACTTGCTCGGCCTCCTACTTGCCTACATGGCGGGTTCCAGAATGAGGTTGGAGTCTTCTGGATATTTCATCGCATTAGTTATAGCTGCACTAGGCATTGCTGCAATCCACAAGATTTGGTCACGCAATAGAGAATCTAAGTAAAAAGGAAAAGGAAAAGGTCAACTTCGCTTGTTGTTTACAAAGAAGAAAAGTCAAGTTAGGGAGTTTAGATGTTCTATGTGTGTTTTGTAACACTATCCATCCATGAGTTCTTTGTTTACTGGGATGCATTCTTTACATTCCAATGCATTAGCTGGCTAAAGCAAGATGCAATCATGCTACTAGTCCATTCATATCTCCTCTGGAACAGCCCAAAAGTTAAACCAGTGTTACAAATATTGAGGTTAAGTCCTGTATAATTATTAAATTGGTCCTTCATAAAGTGTTTTTAGGGCTTCAATTAACTCTGTATTGTTTGAAAGCCCTTGCCCAATTTTCAGAGTCCAAAACAAATATTCAAACGTATGGAAACATTTTATGTGGGTTTCAAATAATCCAGTCTGCTTTTGTGATATTTTTTGGACTTCACTCCTTCCTTTTTCTTTTGTGATTCCTCGGAAGTTGCACATGCAACACAGTGGCTGGAATTTTTCCTTGCAAAAAATAAAAAGCAGGGGCTGGAATTGCTTTGGTTGGACAAAAAAGACTTTGAGGATGAAATGGTTAGGTCTTATGTGCCATTCTGTGAGCCTCTTCCACCAAATATAATTCTCTATTCAAAACTATCACCATTAATTTATGCAGAGATTTGTTCTCAAGGATGCATGCCATTAAAATTAAATTGAAATGTCGAAGGGCAAAGAGGGAGAGGCTGGCGACTAGCCTGTGTGGGAGATTTTAGATGGCTCTACTGGCTCAGGTGAAGGGATTACCATGATGGTGAGATATATTATATGACTCTACAGGCATTAAAAAAAAATCTACTTTGCGCTCGATTCAGAGGTAGTACAATAGTATGGATGAGGGAACAAACTAAAACTATATGATAATATGGATGCACGAGCGGCCAGGGCCTAGTGGAAAACATGAAGAACTTTGCCGGGCATCCATGTTGAACCTCACAAATCACAAATTTTGCTGTTTTATTTGAAGACAGTTGAATGTATCAGTTAAGGTGGGATGGAACAAAGCAAACAAATGGTGCTGAAATGCAATGCACATGGAGTAGAATAAAAAAAGTCAACAACGTCATGTGTTTAAATACGGAGGTATGAGTTATTTTTATCCAAAAATGATCTATAAGAGATATCTGCATTGTCCCAACATATTCTATAAGAAACACCATTTTGTTACAGGGTCAAATGAAACTGTAACAGTATAGTACTACAGTTTGTGGAATTCGTTAGATAGTAATCAGCTTACCATCAGCATTTGCTGGGCTATTTTGTCACAATCAAAACGACTCAATTTCCTCCTGTAAGGGTATATATATACAAATGAGTGAGCAGTAGTATAACTAAGCAGGAGGAAGGAAGCACACGGATTAGGCGAGTAGCTGACCTCACCTCACCTGTGATTGCTGTAGTGCATCGCAGCCAGCCCAGCCAGGGCGGCCAGAGGAAACAGCCGGCCGGAGCAGGAGGAGCGGGTGCCCGGCCGCAGCGCGTACGCTGCCCGCTTACCCGCCATCGGAGCGCGAGGGGATGAATCGAAGAGGGCAAGGGGGACCTTGTTGGCGATGGTTCCTGGTGGACAGCTGCTCCCGCCGCCGCCGCCCGCCGGCATTTGTGGTGGCGCCAAGATAGGGTGATGGGGGAAACGGCGGGGCGGCGGCAAGCGGGAGGGGAGCGAGAGACGGAGAGAGCTCGGTTTGCGGGCGGCGCACCTTTGCCACCGGCCGGCGGCGGCGGCGGCCGTCAGTGGGTGGGTGGTCGCACCGCCTCCCGTTGCAGATCGGGCTCACATGTCAGCCCAAAAGTGAGCGTAAATTCGGCCCAAAAGTACGGGTCAATTTGGTGAATTTTTTTTATTTTTAATTTTTTTTATTAAAAGTTTTACAAAAATAATTTTTCATTTTGAAAATTGACAGAAGTGGTCACCTACCGCCCTCTGGGAGGGCGATTTTTAAAAATCGCCATCCCAGAGGGCGGCGAAAGTGACGTGGCAGACGGAACGAAATTTGCAGGCGGCCCCCTTGCCGCCCTCCGCTAGGGCGATTTTGTACTGTGCGGGGGGCCGCCTGCAAATGGGCGGCGGGGGGCCTGGAATTTTGCAGGCGGCCCCCTTGCCGCCCTGGGGGAGGGCGATTTTATACTGTGCTTTATATTTTTTATAAATATCAATAGTTATCAAATTTTTTTATATTGAAAACTATACAAGATTAAAATCTCCAAGACTGGTAAAATACAATTTTATTATTTTTAGGGCCTATTTGGAATGTTACCGTACAAATATTTTGTTAGTGCCAAAATATAAGCAAGTTTTGGCACTACCAAATATTTGGTAAGGTAAAATTGCATTTGATCATATTTGGTTTGCTGCCAAAATGTAAAATTGTAGTGAAGAATGTTCTACATAATCTCAAATCTAGATTACGTATTACCAATGAATAGGCTTCAATCGAAATCAAACACAAGTACTATTCAAATTACCAAAATATTGGTAGGGCATGTTTTTGGTAGCAATCCAAATAGGCCCTTAGTCTTACGCATACAAAAAATCACCACCATAATTAAACATTGTAATGATAAGATAGATAAGAAGTGCCATCGATACACGGTACAAATTTGTCGATCCCGACGAATCAAGCATGCGGTAACCTATCGGCCCCTTCTAGGTCGGTCAGAATGCATTGCATTCTCGTGGTCCTTCAATCGTTGATACTCTACTTGTGTTTCTGACTCTGTTATCTTCTGGCCATGATATGATGGAGTGACATTGTCGATCCATCGAGTAAATCCACCCATCCTTGGATTGCCCTGTAAAAATAGTAATGTTATTCAGTTTGGGTAGTAATTTTGTGCAAATCATAGCGGATTTTGTAAATGGTTAGACATACAACGAAATCGTTGTCTACATTGGGGCAGACAAAATATCTCCTTCGAAATGTTTGTTCAGCAAAGGATGTAGCCACCTGCCAGCGATCTCTGCACCCACACTTTGGACGCTCGGACCATTTATGTAACCCTAATGGATTGTTCCTCCAGTCTAAGCTTGCAATTTCCACCCGACGTTCGTACTCCATCCAAGCATGAATGAACTGTATGGTCGGTTCAGGTTGCGTTATCGGCCCGCCACTTGAAGTAACTCTGACTGTGTCAATCCATTGTACGAAAGTGTGTTGTCGTGAGCATAAGTTGTTCTAGCACCATATGAATGAAAAGAACTATGTAGACGAGACAAACACAAGTAGTACTGCAGTAGTAATAGCAAAAGTAGTACTGCTTTACAAGTTTGTAAGCCAAAAGAAACGGTCACATAAGGACTGAAGAGGTAGAACACTACTGACGAGGCCTCTTACCCCTGTCCCTCCTACCTTGCGCCCTAATGTGCCCCTGGGAGTACGTGAGTCGGTCCGGGGGTACGGCACGGCCAACCCGTCCTGCCTGTACAGGTGTGACCTCTGGCTGCTCCTGAGTGTGCGCCTCTGGAGCTCCTCCAAGCTGAGAGGAGCCTAGTACATCGTGGTGGTGTGCACCGTGCAAGTCGTCGTCGTAGAACTGGCTAGTAGGACCAGTCCTACCGACGTGAGACGAAGAGGCCCCAGTACCGAAGATCCCGGCTGCAAATCCTGCTGGACAAGGACCATCAGTTTCATACATGTATTTAATAGTATTAATAAAAAGTAAAGTACCGTGTGGGCGAAGGATCGACGCTCCGTGAGAGGAAGAGCTGGCGAACGTGCCCGAAGAGGTGGCGAACGCCCCTGCGGAGCTCGCGGAAGCGCCGGTCGTGCCTGCGAACGCGCTCGAAGGCAGACGAGGTCCAGCGACGAGGAAACGTGCAGTTAAAACATGGTGACATATTCGTGCAAAAGCTGAAACAAAAATGAACTAATGTCTGGGCTGAACTGTACCGTGCGAAACCGGTGCTGTAGGTCGCACTGCTCCGAAGCTAGGGGCGCTCGAAGGCAAACGAGGTCCTGCGAGGATGGAACATCAAGTTACGACGGGGTGATGTTTTCGTACAAAAACATAAACAAAACTTAAGAAACCTCTGGGCTGAGCAGTACCGTGCGAAACAGGTGCCGTAGGTCGAGGTCCTGCTCCGACGGTAGGCGCGCGAGGCCGTGGTTGTACCGGACCAGCTGGAGGTACGACGTCCACGGCGTTGCGACAGGAGAAGACGCGCATGACCGCACGCATCTTCTCCTGCATCCGGTCGAAGGTCACCCTCTGCTCAACGTCAGTCAAGTGCAAACCTCTGTTCAACCTCACTTGGACTGCGGTGATATCGGCACTGATATCCCGTGCGGCATCAGCCTATGCAAGATGGAAATAAAAAATTCAGTAGTTGTCCTATATTATGCAAGATAAATGAAATAATTGTAAGAACTAATACAAATTCGACGTACCCCCACGAAGTAGTCTCGGTCACGGTGCGTGG